GTTTAAATTCCGTCTGTAAAATCCCTCATGGTCGGTCGGTCATTGGCAAGTTTGAGTTTGATAATAAATAAATAACTCGCTGTTGCTATATATAATAAATGCATTGACTAATATATTAGATTATTAGGCGTAGCATGAGTCGTGCTTGTACGCAGCATCTAGTAGTATAATAACGTCGCACAAGTTGATTCATTAAGAATTTCAATCTGAGTCAGAATACGGAGTAGTCTCGAGCTCTATAGTTTCATGTTTACAATTTTAACCCTTACCGCCAGCTCAAGTCCAAGGCCTTGCGATAACGCAGCCCCTATACACGCGTCGGGTACCACTTCCAAGGCATCGAATGCTTCAGTATAGTATTAGGTATTCTTGGCAACATTCTAGTCAGTTGGAGCTATGCATAACAAGTCAGGTGATTTAGTGGAAACGCAGCTCTAACCACAATACGGCGTCGTGTATAAATAACAAGTCTTGCTCCAACGTTGGTATTGAGATTCAAATCACACCACAAAGTCTATTCAGCTAAACACTCAGTATCCTGCCTACTTAGTTCCTCTTACATTTCCTCTTACAAAGAAAAAAGCCTTTTCACACTACCTACCAACAATGAAGTACTCTATTACTCTCGTTTCTACTTTTATTGCCGCCGCTCTCGCGGGACCTCTTGAGACACCGACAGCTGGGTGTCCGGGGGCCAACCGACTCGAGCTACTCACGCGTTTTCGAAATTTGGAAGGCGAGCTCTGTAATGGCAAAAACAATAAATTTGGGATATCAGACTCTTCTTGCAAGAACGAGGCTCGTCATTGTGTTAGGAAGATAACCCGCGTATGCTCAGTCCAAGATGGCGCTAGTCAGGTGGTAAACTGCATGGGCGATAAGAAGAAGGCCCATGATGAACTTGAAAATTCGAAAGGTGGGAAGACTCCCGGGCGTGCTAGTGGGGAGCTGCCCGAGGATGCCGGTGGAATCACGTTTGATGATGCCGCCCTCCCTCCCACTAATTTCGGCATGGACAAGGCTCCCTCTGGGTTTGAGAATTAAGCCCCCCCTTCCACCTTTCGGGATAATGTTGCCTGGCCTGGTTTCAAGAGGGATTATTTATATAGCCTAGGTACTAGACAAGAGCCAAGTAGCGGAGGGTTAAGATTAGGTCTATGTAGCTATCTGCTATATTAAAGACGGAATATATCAAGTGTGGCAGCTGTCGTGGTAACTACAGCCATCAACAAATAAAAAATCAGCCAGCCAATGCTTCGCATGTCCTGCATTGTAAGTTGTGGCATCCTCAGGAATTACCCTCCTTGTTTCGGTACGCAGTGTAAATTCCAACCAACTCTTATTATTCTGGCCAATCCTTCTCAAATCCAGACTCATCACCCGAACTGTCATCGTCTACACCACTCTCGCTAGCATCAGAAATTTCGTCATCTACGCGAGGAGTCGTCGCAGCTGAGAGTATCTCGGGTGATGCTGACCTCACCGATAATGTATCAGGGAGACTGACACCATCGCCAGAATGCTGCAGGGCGACACGACTGGTAGACGGCGAAGGATTTGGGCTGCGTAGGTGCCTTTTATAGCGCTCTGTTTCAAGGCCGCTAGACGCTGGGCGCTTACTACCCGTGCCATTCCTGACAGAACCATCCAGTTCCTGTTTACAAAGCCACTCCAGGCATCTTCTGGCACTCCATCTCTTCTCTGCACCTTTCCGCAGTAGGCCCTTTAACATGGGCCGGACTTTTTCTGGTGCCTTCGCGATGCATGGAGAAACTACCGTCCGTATCCATTTTCCAAAGTCGCTGGGGTCCCATATTTCGTCCACATCAGGTTCCCAACTTGTGAATATTTCCAGCTCAATGAGGCCAAAGGCCCACATGTCGACTTTGTTTGTATACGATCGGGGTTGGATGAATAGTTCAGGGGCCATGTAGATCTCCGTACCAGTGAAAGTTTCCATTTTTGATGAGAGGTTATGCTTCGATGTACCAAAGTCAGCCAACTTTAAAATCACTACGCCATCTTGCGTTTGTATCAAGGCGTTATCTGGCCGCAGATCCCGATGGGTAATGCCAGTCTCGTGCATGTAATGCAAAGCGCTGACAAGCTGAGTACTGATTGCAAGTCGTTGAAGTGAGTCTAATTTGGGGAGGGTGTCGCGGAGAGTACAAGGGACGTATTCGACTATCATCCAAGGCGGCAGGGTCAACTCATCGGCCAGGACTAACTCGTACGCCCTAACTATATGCGGCTGGTCGAGATACAAGTTACAGTTATTACCAAACTCGGTTCCTTCCTCGAACGGTGGGGAGAGTCGCGTCATCTACTTACATGTTGTAGGCGCATAATGAGTTTGTACTCGGCTTCCAACGTCTCAAAACGTTTCCTCGCGTAATCAGAATTGTCGCTTGATTTGTAGTAAGGTTCTTTAGCGCCAAAGATCTCCCCAGTTACAATATTCTTCACCCTCATCACAGAGGCATGCATCCCACGGCCGTGCATCTGCTCGACAACATACACGGCATCATTCTTGCCATAGCGGACCGATTCAGCCGATGTTGACTCGCGGCTCTTGGTAGAAGGAAGGCTTTTGGGATATGCAGCCATAATGTCAAGACCGTATGATCGAGCCAGTTCCTTGTATCGTTGAGTTTCCACCAATGTGCGTTCCGGGAACCAAGCCCAACAACGCACCGCTCCCCAGTCAATCACGCAAGGGCGTGGCAGTTCAACAGGAATGCCGGGTTTGCACTTCTCAACATCAGCACCCTCGCGAATGCGAACTCTCTGATCAGATAGCAGTGTCACCCTGGGGTAGTGCGTAATCGGGCTGATATCGACCCTTACTGATCTTCTGCTTATACGGCTTTGATTATCGCCAGCAATCTGAAAATCGCACACTTCGGAATCACCGTGAGAGCCCAGAATCCAGCCCGTCGGATCGAACAAGTGTTCCCCGATAGTCAGACAGAAAAAAGGGGGCTTAAGATGTGCATCCGATTGTCCGCCCCTCCACGCTGCATCGTCGCTGTTGTTTGGCGGCAGAAACAGATATCTTTTGTTATCAGATAACTCAGGGATCTCGTCAACACCCTCGAAGGATCCTAGAATCAGCACGATTCTGCACAGGTCAATATCCTGGGGACTCGTCATATTGACGATGCAAGTGAGCAAGGCTGGATTTTTAACGTGGAGCGGGTGAAGAGGAACCAGACTGAAAAGCAGCAAGTACGAGGCCCTCGAAGTGGTGAATATGGAGCCTGAGTTAATATGTTGATGTGAACGCTCGTGTGCCTATCCTAGGCTGCAGAGCGACCAGGATCCATACCCCTCTTTTGGCGCCTAGCTGCAGCTCTGGCACCAACCACAGCGCATCTTGTCTTGTGCTTGATTATGCGACCGTCTGTTGTTGTCCGTGATCTTGTCCGGTTCGCAACGCAGCTGCTTGGTTGGTTCGATGGTCGTGTAGCTAATGTAGACGATGTTGATATCGCTCCACTCGACTCCAGACACCGCTGGACGCGCGCTTGGCGTTTGCGCTGGATTCGATTCCTTTTCTCCTGAGCCGCCTCTCGCATATCATGCTCTTTTAAGGCGGCACGTTGTTGAAGAACCTCTGCCTCAGGCCGCCAATACTTGTTATCCATAATCGAGTACCGCAGTTTCGTAGTCTGCTCCGAGGATTGCCCACACTGCTGCAGAAAATTCTTGCATAATGCCGCGGCATCGCGCCAGTGTTGGGCTGTGGCTTCGCCGTCCTGTGAAGTATCTTGTCCGTACAGACTCGTTATCAAGGAAGATAGATAGTGCTCGAATTCCATCTTCCAGTAGTGCCGCTCAGAGATTACTCTCCGACATTGATCTATTTCGTGCTCAGTGAAATGATCATGCCATACTTTGCACTGCGACTTGTAATTCTCGAGGGTATCGTCGTCGCCGGATGAGGAACATTCCGGAGTTGCTTGTTGTCTTTCTCGAGTCTCATCATTTAACAGTTGGCAAAGGTACTCTTGCCCGACTTTCGAGGAGAACACATCTCTGGCGCATTTGTTGGAATCCTGTCTGGAAGGGTCGTGCTTCTCAGACCATTGTGGACTTTCTGCCATGGAAGTGTTGCTTTTGGACATTGGGGAAAGGTGGTAAGAAGGAGATGAACGGTCTTTCAAATGGTGCATAGTGAGCCACGAGACAAAAGGGTCAGTCGACTCGTCCTGGATCACGTGAGTGCCAATAAGAAAAGAAGTGGCCAATACTCCGTACAAGGCGCTGTTCCGGTGGTGGGACTATGTCAGAACCAGTGTCGTGGCCACGAATCCCAGCCATGGTGGCCACAGGGTTACCGCAACGGTCCGCTCACATCAAACAGGGGACTTCCTCGAGCGCTGCGGCTCAGAAAATTTTGGCGGAGCCTGAAAGCCATCAAGGGTCAATGGTAGCTGTGTTGTCTTGGGTCTGGGCACATGCAGTTATACTAAATTTGTGCCGCACTTGCTCCCGCCAACTAAAGTCGACCTCAACTCATGGCTCACAAACGCCATGGTGAAGCCCGTCCATCGTATAAGTTATAACACACCGAGTACTGCTGCGTGGTACAGTATTGTTCTGTGCAGAAACATCTTCCCCTTCTCTACACTCTTTTCAAAATTTGGCTGGAAAGTGTGCTTTTAACTGCTTCTCAATACTTGACTGCGGACCGTGCAGCTAGAAATAATGGCTGTATTACCTTACGGCGACTTCCCTAGAAGAGCAGAAGTAGAGGGTTTTGCGGCTGGTTCCTCAAAGTGGACTCAGGCAAGCAGCGTTTCCTTAGACTTAGTATTGCAAATAACTGTTGAAATGGATCGTGCCTCTATATAGCGGCTGCGTTAAATCTAATATAGAAAATTACGTGTAACGTGCCGCTCTACAAGATCGCCAGCTCTTTATTTTTATTAGAGTTTTACACTAAAATACTATATTTTTAAAAAAATTATATAATTATAAATGCAATATAATATAATTAACTTTTATAATATTAATAAATTATAATATATATTTATTACTCTAGATAGCTGTAGAGCTATATAACTAGTATATTAACTGTTATTTTAAGCAGGAAAACTCTCTAGAAAAGAAAAACCTACTTACCTCTATATATAAGCCTCTAAGCTTGTTATAGTCTGAGCTATACTCAACCTTAAAGATGTAATGCAATAGATATAATAGGCACTGCACGCATAGATAACTAGATTAGGGACAAGCCTATGCTGCGTAACTTATATAGTGCTAGATTAAGCAAGCTGTAGGCAGCTTGTTTAATACATACTCTTTTAACTTAATAGTTAAGAGCTCTAGTATTACTAGAATAACTATAGCTAGCACTTACTATAGCTTAATAAAGCTAGTCTATTATATTTAAATAAGCTTCCTAGAGTTATAAGTTTAAGCTGCATAGAGTGCAAGAGATACTTAACCTAGGCTTACAAGAGCTACTACTACTCTTAGGGGGTGCAAGGTTTAGAAGGCACAGAAGGAGGCTATATTATAGTCTAAGCTATACTTTACCTTAAAGATATAATGCAATAGATGCAATAGGCACTATATATATAGATAACTAAATTAGAGACAAGCCTATACTGTATAACTTATATAGTGCTAAATTAAGCAAGCTGTAGACAGCTTATTTAATATATACTCTTTTAACTTAATAGTTAAGAGCTCTAGTATTACTAGAATAACTATAGCTAGCACTTACTATAGGTTAATAGAGCTAGTCTATTATATTTAAATAAGCTTCTTAGAGTTATAAGTTTAAGCTGTATAGAGTGCAAGAGATACTTAACCTAGGCTTACAAGAGCTACTGCTACCCTTAGGGGGTGCAAGGTTTAGAAGGCACAGAAGGGGGCTATATTATAGTCTAAGCTATACTTTACCTTAAAGATGTAATGCAATAGATGCAATAGGCACTATATATATAGATAACTAAATTAGGGACAAGCCTGTGCTGCGTAACCTATATAGTGCTAGATTAAGCAAGCTGTAGGCAGTGTTATAGTCTGAGCTATGCTCGACCTTAAAGAAGAAGCAATGCAATAAATGCAATAGGCACTACACGTAATAGAGACATAAGCTTGTGAAGAGACCTATATAGTGCTAAATTAAGTAAGCTGTAGATAGCTTATTTAATATATACTTTTTTAACTTAATAGTTAAGAAGTTTAGTATACTACTAGGATAACTATAGCTAGTACTTACTATAGCTTAATAAAGCTAGTTTATTATATTTAAATAAGCTTTCTAAAGTTATAAGTTTAAGCTATATAAAAAGAAAGTATAAAAAATACTTAACTTAAGCTTATAAAAGCTACTACTACTCTTAAGAAGTATAAAGTATAGAAAGCATAGAAGAAAGCTATATTATAGTTTAAGCTATACTTAACTTTAAAGAAGAAGTAATATAATAAATATAATAAGTACTATATATAATAAGAAATATAAGCTTATATAAAGACTTATATAGAACTAAATTAAGTAAGCTATAAATAGCTTATTTAATATATACTTTTTTAACTTAATAGTTAAGAAGTTTAATATACTACTAAGATAACTATAGCTAGTACTTACTATAGCTTAATAAAGCTAGTTTATTATAAGTAGCTTATTTAATATAAACTTTTTTAACTTAATAGTTAAGAGCTTTAGTATTACTAAAATAACTATAGCTAGTACTTACTATAGCTTAATAAAGCTAGTTTATTATAAAAATTTATATTATATTATAATATAAAGTATTTTCTTTTTATAAGTAGTACTAAACTACTTTATATATATCTCTACTTATTTATTCTTAACTTTATTACTTTAGTACAATATATAGTAGCTATATTATATAGTAGCTTAATTTTCTCTAGCTCTAAAGAGCTCTAAGCTCTACTAGCTATTTTTTAAGGTAGACTTAGCTTAATTCTACTTTTTAATTATATAATAAAGTATATAAGTTAACTATTATAATTTAAGCTATATTTAACTTTAAAGATATAATATAAAGTAATAAATATATTATATTATAATATATAATAAGAGATATAAGCTTACATAGAACTTATATAATACTAAAATAAGTAAGCTAAAGTAGCTTATTTAATATATACTTTTTTAACTTAATAGTTAAGTTAAAAGCTTTAGTATTACTAAGATAACTATAGTTAGTACTTACTGTAGCTTAATAAAGCTAGTTTATTATATTAACTAAATTTCTAGGTAATTAAGCTAAAAATTAAAGTACTTTTAGCTAAGTTTAAACTAGCTCTTTATAAAGTAGAATAAAGCTTTATAGTACTTAACTATTATATTATAAAGACTATAAATTATAATAGTTAAATTAATTAAAATTAAAGTATTATTATTATAATAAACTTAAGCTAAACTTAAGCTATAAGCTTAAGTAAAAAGTACTATATTAGTACTTTATTAAATACTCTTTAAATATATATTAAACTTATATATATATAATAAGTAGAAATAGAAGAAATAAAGAGCTTTCTCTTTCTCTCTTTTCTCTCCTTAAGTTTATAGTTAATACTAGCAATACTTATATATAGTTGCCTATAAAGCTAGTTCTTAATAGTTATAGTTTAAGCTATACTTAACTTTAAAGAAGTAATATAATAAATACAATAGGCACTACACGCAATAGAGAACATAAGCCTATATAGAGACCTATATAGTGCTAAATTAAGCAAGCTGTAGGCAGCTTGTTTAATACGTACTCTTTTAGCTTAATAGCTAAGAGCTTTAGTATTGCTAAGATAACTGCGGCTGGCACTTGCTATAGCTTAATAGAGCTAGTTTATTACAACTTTATTTAAGTATAAGCTTCTCTACTTTTTTACCTCTAGTTTATATTAACTTTATTAATACTTATTATTAGTATATTTTTATTTTAAATTTAACTACTTACTAAAAAAGTTTAGCTTTTATTATACTAATTATAAAGTTTCTTCTTTAAGTAGTATAACTTAAAATTTATAGTAAAATATTATAGCTTTATAATTATTAATTAGTATAAAGTATAAAAAATATTTTAGCTAAGAATTACTTTATATATATCTTTACTTAAAGCTTAATAAAGCTTTACTAACTTAATTATATTAATTTAGTTTATACTTTTTAT